TTAAGGGCCTATTCCCTCTGTCCTACCAGGTTACAGCCCGTCGCAACGAGACTGGACCTTAACGTGGTGCGGCGGCAGGCGTACCTCCTTGACACATTGAGCTATACTGGGTGGTGCCTCCGGGTCCCTTGAGCGTTACTCTTACCAGGTTTGTCAACGGTGAGAGGTCAGACAAACTCAGTCTCTTGGTCCTCCAGGTTGGGGGTTTGAAATGCGATGGCGTACATTTCTGTAAAACTAAGTCATTGCCACCCCCCCCCCCACTGACTTACAGACAGGCTATGGAGCCAAAGGCTTTGGATGAGGACCCTAATCGTCCTCATGTCTAAGTCTGGGCATCCTGATAGTACCTCAGCACACATACAACTATGACTATTTCTTCAAACAGACTTCATTATTCCTCGGCCGTCGCGCAGATTATCAAGGGTCGCCTTATCTGCTGCATACTGCAGGTTGGATGAGCGAAAACATACTACTGCTAGCGCCACTTTTCTTTATTTTCCACCGTTTTCTCTTACTCCCATCCCGACTCCCATTACTGAACTTTCTTCTATAATACCCAGCTTAATTGACAGCAACCGTAGTGCCACTGCAGTAGAACCATCTGTAGCCACCTTCCCACAACACCCATCGGACGCTTATCTGCAACACTCCCTTTTAAGTCCGCGCTGCCTCGTTTCCATGGCGGCGTTCAACAGCCTGCACTCGCACGCACCTTGGACACACTGGGTATTGGTATGCGGAAACTAGGATCAAAAACCTTAATGGGGTTTTGAATTAACTGCATCCGGCTTCTGCTCTCGCTATTACTTGCACGCATGCACAGACGCTGATGCAGCACTCACGGGTCAAGCTGGTGTAGGTATCATTCGAAGCGTCAACGCCGTACCATGGTTGGTTGATTGGATTTCGGTGAACAGCGGTTTATGTGCAGCCCGTCAGACGACATCAGCTAAGGTGGAGTCACGAAGTAGTATAAAACGCTGTTTGTTTATGATTTCCACTTGTGCTCCCACTGACTGTAGTTCTATTGCTGTCAAGGACACATTCTACCATGAACTGAACGCGCTACTACACAGTGCTACTAGTTCTAATATTATAGTTCTTGCAGGGGATATGAGAGCACAAATAGGGCGTCTGAGCTCTTCAGAAGCTCAGCTGGGTGGTAATTGTAGACTTAACTCCGAACGGACTGACAACGATGAGCGTCTGCTGCAACTGTGTGCGGAGCACCAGTTGTTTCTTACTAGCACTGCTTTTAGACACAGTGGGCGCCGAAGTGCCACTTTGCGTCCTCCTGTAGCTGGCCAGCGAGGCACCCAAATTGACCACATTGCCATAAGATACAGGTGGCGTGATTCCATCCTGGATTGCCGCTCGTACTGGAGTACCTGTGTCGACTGATCATGCCTTGGTACGCTGTCGTTTCTCCATGAACTTGACCGGGAGGCGCACTAAGCGTCCCTTCCGATTGGCAATCGAGAAATTGTCTCAGACCTCAGTCAGGCAAGCCTATCAAGAAGTACTGCATACCGAACTGTCTCGTTCTAATGATACTGAGCTTCAGTAGAATAGGATCTCGGCCGCCATGCACGACACAGGAGCATCTGCTTGTGGCACTACTAATTGTCACCGCACGAGTCACTGGATTTCCGAGAGGTTATTGAGGTTTGTAGTATACAGCAGAAACCTCACGGCTGGCTCTGAGCACCGTGTGACCAGATGGGCTATTAGGCGTGAACTAAAGCGGAGCCTAGGTGCAGACAAGGAAGTCTGGTGGATCAATCGGGCTCAATAAATGGAGGAGGCAAGAGCAGTAGGCAATTACCGCAAGCAATTCAAGTTGATTCGCACCACTGGTCCCAGGAAACAATGCGTCAGTGAGACAACCAGAGACAGCGCGGGTGCATTGATACACGAAAAGAGCGCCGTATGATTTATGGGGCAGAACAATTTCAAGATCAATTTAGCTGGCCCCCTGCTCCCGGACCTCTTTTTACTCAGGCGACGCAGCACGAGCCAGGGACGGATAGTTTAGAGCCTACGTCGGAGACCGAAGTCCGAAACGCGATCACAGCCCTCAATCCTTTTCGTGCCGCTGGCCCGGATTCCCTCCCACCTGCACTATTTAAGCTTGGAGGTGTGGTGCTCTGCGAAGCACTGACATCAATATTTGAATGTAGCTGAAAGGAAGAGAGTGTCCCGGCTAATTAGGACGAATGGATTATGGTGGCAATATACAAGAAGCGAAGTCGCACAGACTGTTCTAACCACAAACGTATTAGCTTAACGAAAGTTGTGACGAAATTACTGGCCCCGGGTGTTGTTCGCCGCCTCTCTGTGAAACGGGAATCTCGGATTAGGGAAGAGCAGGCAGGTTTCCGCCCAGGACGTGACTGTATAGACAATAGATTCATTCTGCGGCAGGTGGTAGAGCATCGCCACGCATACCGCAGACCGAAAGTAGCTGTGTTCCCTGATTAAAAGAATACGTTCGATTCAGTCGATCGATGCATTCTGTTCAAACTACTTGCGCAGAAAGGTCTTCCCACGAGATATGTGAACATCATTAGTGCTCTATAACAAAACACTACAAGCCGCGTCAGAATCTACGGTGACTTGTCGGATAGCTTTCCGACGACAGTTGGCGTTCTTAAGGGTTGTCCGATTTCCCCCTTTTTGTTCCATTTCGTCGTGGATTATATCATGGAGAGTTCCCTCGTGGAATCGCACGATATAGGCATTGAAGTGCTGCCTGGTGAAAGGTTAGTTGATCTTCATTATGCAGACGATATCGCCTTGCTTGTCGACGATGTTGCGGCCGCACAATCAACCCAGAATGTCCTGTCTAGAGTGGTCCCAATTTTTAATGTTCGCTTCACACCTCCAAAGTGCAAAGTGTTGCTGCAGGACCACCAGCCACTTCATGACCCCTTGGCCCTTGCTAACGCGGAGCTCGAGTTGGTTGATCTGTTCACTTTACTTGGCAGCTGCTTTAGCAACGATGGGCGCATAGAAACTGATGTCAGCACCCGCATTGCAAATGCCAGAACTGCATTATTGAACCTGTAGCATTTTTGTTGACAGAAGGGAGTTTCCCTCCGTCTGAAAGACCATGTATACATGGCCACAGTGAGGGCCGTCCTGCTCAATGGTAGTGAGACTTGGCCCCTTCGGTCTGAAGATCTGAGGCGCCTTCAACTCTGTTCATCGTTGTCTGCGAAGCATTGCTGGTGTCGGATGGCACCAGCGCGTCCGTAACGATGATGTGCATAGGCTAGTACTAGGTAGTGAAAATCACGCTAGCTCCTTAGAACAACAGATAGCACTGAATAAGTTGCATTGGCTCAGGCACGTGCTACGTATGTCTGGTCACCACTTACCTAGGAGGGCCTTGTTTAGTCTGCCAGGTGTAGGGTGGCGCAAGGCTCGAGTTGGACAAAGTTGACTTGGCTGCGCGAAATGAAATCACTGACTACCAAACTGGGTGCCGTTGTTCCGTCTCGCCTTCCGGGTTGGAATCCACGTGACTCTCCTTGTGCTTGGCTCGAGAATATACAGGACATGGCTGGCAGTAGACACCAGTGGCGCGTCTGCTGCCGTCTCCTAATCAGATTGCCTGATTGAAGTAGGTTTGGTGCTGACTTATCTGCGACGTAATGGCTGATTACGATGCATGGCAGTGAAAGCCACAAGGAAGCTGTCTCGCCGATGCCGCCTTATCTTTGCACGATAACCGGTTATTTGTGACGGTATGTTATTAGCACAAGGTGTAGGCGCCTTGACACTGAATGTTTGCTTAGGGCATTAAGGTTTTCAGGTAAGTCCCCCTTCTCTCCCTCTTATTATTCTTTATTTCATAGGTCCACATGGTTGTATGGCAGGGAAGCATCAGTTCAAATGGATGATGTACTGCTGTTGTTGGTGATGCTTACCAGCTTAGGTCGAAATCTCTAGGTGTCAGGGTCTGGGATGAAATCTTATTATGGTTCGCTGATTCCTGTAAAACCCATATCACATATTTCGCCATCTACTGGAACTGAACAACCACACCAACCTGAGAGATCATCATTCAGAATGACCACACAGTATGGGTGGTCGAAATATCGTCTCAATTTAGTCTTCCTTTGAGGATGTCAGCTGTGGAACGCTCACCCAATTCTCGTTTTTCTTCTCCCAGTCCAACGACATTTGAGACGTTGACAAATTACTGTGGTATTCACATTTCAGTGTATAGCTTCTGTTAGCTAAGAAGCTACGTTAGGCAACGAAACAGTGAGTTCCCGAAACCCAAGCAGTTGGATTTATGCTTATTATCATAGCATCTCGGTGAGTTCACTTATGGGCAGTCAATTTTAATGACACACTCTTTAATTTTAACCCCACCTTCCTACTGGACTTGTTAAGTGTTGGCTTTGTTACCCGTTAGACACAACTGTTACATTTTTCATTGGTAATCCCTAGTGTGGCACACGCGCGTTAGAACGGTTCTAATTTATGCGCTCAGGTGGGTCGTTATTACACCTTCCAGACTGGCCAATCAGAACAAGCGCAACTCTATACACTTGAGTACATCTATACACTTGTACCCGGAGCTCACTGGTAAACCGGTCCACCTTCTTTCCTCTCTTACGCTGCTGCAAGGCGCCTTAGCGTGCCTGCCTATCGGAAGACCAGAAAAAACAGTGAACATCCAGACGCAACTTGCGTGAGACTTTTATTATTTTGGTGCAATCACGGATAGTAATAACAAAATCACCGAGCATGCCTAATGTTACTGATATTCAAACTTTTGTACAGCCGTACCCTTTGACAGAACATGAAGCACCTGCATATGACTTTTGGGATGGATATAGTTTTATGATGCATCATCAAAAACCATTCAGTCGCATGTAGTGTGAGCACGCTGCTAGCATTTATAGAAAACAATGGCATCATTAATAGTTTACTTTAGTACCATATCCGAAAGCATTTAGTGGTTTTGAACATGGGACGGTGTGCTATGATCTTTGGTTCTGGTCCTGTGTTATCTGTGTAAACAGTGGTTGTCCGTATTGATCCATCGATACTCGATAAGTCACACCTTTATCCATCACGTAACTCTGAGGATAACGCATCCCGGGTGCAAAAGCAACTTGTCCTGAGCTGTAGATTTGTGGTCCGCTTAAGTATGGCATCGGAACTTGTGCTTGTAGCAAGGTTGGGCCTAAATTTCCAGCACTTTCTACAGCAGCAGTATCTTGAACGCTGCCCAGAACTTGCCCATCAGAACCGATCACTCCATCCGCCGGACTGCCAATAATGGATGTTCCGGAAGTAGATGTCACAACCCCGGTAACCGGTGATGTGGACTTGCCGTTGTCATCATTTGCCTTGGCAGTGTTTTGTGACTCAGTTCGCTCGGTAGGTTCATCAACGAGAACGATCCTTGCAGGCTCATGCACTGCGTTGTTAATTGGATATCCAGAGTATGGGAATACGCTGTTAGGGACGTAAACGAGACCGTTAGGATCGTACAATACGGTTCCTTGAGGCTGAGGAAGTTGTGTTGCTAGCTCGACCCCTGCCATTCCCGTGGGTGCATTACTCTGAACAAAGGGCATTTGCCTGTAATTGGGACGGAAGAGCAATTGGTTATTGGTCCAGGCAGCTTGATTTAGTGCTCGCGCATTCGGAACTGCTGCGTAGCCACGTGTGCTTATCAAGGACAAGGTGCATATCACAAACGTATAGCAAAGATGCATGGCGAAGTCGAATGCAGAATGCGAGGTGGTTAAGTGGAACTTGGCGGAAACGTGTTAGCTGAGTCAGTGGTTCAGTTCTGATGAGTGAGTTTCAATCACAAGGGCTCGTGCTCTGGGTGAACTGGAATAATTACGGTCAATTCTAATGACCTTGGGTAACATGGCGCCTAGATGAGTTGAGTTCTAGTCGAAAAATTGGCCCCCTTCCAATTGATTGATTTCCAATAGTGTTCCCTCTACCGACTAGAACAGGGGTTACCAAACATTTGCCACAGCAGACCGGATAACAGAGAAAATGTCTAGCGAGCCTTGGGTAACAGACAAAATGGCTCGTTTGCGCCGAATATTCACTACGCATACTACTTGCAAGACAGAAAGAAGGCTCTGGGAAAACTGGCAAAGAAAACGCGGCGTTGTATCTGCTTTTCGCAGCAGCTTTGGTGAAGTTCGAAATAAAAAGGCTCTGAACAAGGAAAAGATATTAAAATAGGGACATCAAAGATCCTAGTAAAACACCGGAAAAATCGAGGACCAGAGGCAATTGGCGGAACTACGGCCCACCAGAGTTAAACGTAAAGTTCATAGTTAACGGCGGTTATAAAATTTACCACATAAGAATGTCTGCAATGTATATATATATATATATATATATATATATATATATATATATATATATATATATATATATATATATATATATATATATATATATATAGTGCCCCATGCTGAGGCTGATGTTGCATTCTTGATGCTTCTTCACCGCAGTTGGGCTAAACCAACTTACACTTAAACTAGGTCTTTTTAAGCTGGATAAATTTCATTCCACTTTATTTGGTTTGTTCTGCCTACCTGAATAATCTTCTATTAACTGGCCACGTTGCTAATGCTAATTGGGCTTATCTTCGGCAATTTTGTTGCGTTTGTAGCATTTTAAGTAATTTGTGGAAATTTCTTACTTGTCACGGATTTGTTGCTAACCAAATTACTTCATATGGTAATTTAGCGAAGAGTTATGCCACCGTATCTGTATGCATTATTGGATTTATTTTATTTCAGCTTGTCGTTTAAAGTGAATGGCTGTTGTTTGATATCCCTGGTATGGTTGCGCTTGATGTGTATGTTGACAAGGTGCCTACCTGTCTATTACCCACTACCTCGTTCATACTGGCTCCAGGAGACAGTTGGTCGTTGCTGGAGGGGACGGGGTGCACGGTTCTTGTGGCCGTGCTAGGCTCAAAGAGCGGTTCCATGCACTCAGTGTGGAGCGGACTACGGTCCAGCCACCGCCTTGTGTGCGCTTGATTCCCCAAATACAGCGTGCTTGTGTTTGCCTGTGAAGGAGTGTGGGCCGGCTCCGTTGATGAAACGTGGTTCCCATCCGCATGCCTCCCGGTCTTATTCCTTCGGGTTTACACTGGATATGGGGTATGTGGTTGGAGCTGTGGGTGGTGCAGCGCAAGCCATCCATGGTCCCTCTGTAGGCGCAGGCGTCCTGCGGCTTGCCCCAGTGACAGGCAAATCCGAAACCGGATGCCGCCATCCATATATATATATATATATATATATATATATATATATATATATATATATATATATATATATATATATGTATCGGGCTGGCGGCATCCGGTTCCGGATTTGCTAGTCACTATGGCCCCCGTACAACAGCCACAGGATGCCTGTACCTCCAAAGGGACCGGGGGTGGCTTGCTTTGCACCACGCACTTCATCTCACACTCCATATCCAGTGTAAACCCAAAGTAATTGGACCACAATGCAAATGGATTGGGGCCATTTTCACCAATGGAGGAGGCCCACAATTCTTCAAGAAGCAGAGCAGAAGTGTTTATGCCTAATTGGGGGATCAATGCGTATCAGACGTCCTCTGGTGGTGGCTGGGCCGTAACCCATTCCACACTGGATGCCTGAAATCACTTATTGAGCCTAGAACGGACACGAGGACCGTATATCCCGTCCCATCCAGTAACAATGAACAATGAACAATGATTCATAACGGGTAAAAAAGCAGGTGCTTGACATGTCCCGTAGGGTGTATAGCGTGATAAAAAAGATAGCGATGGAATAATGGAGTCTTCAGCCAACGTAACGTCCCCTGGAGCTAGTATAGGTGAGGTAGGGGGAATTTGACGGGTGAGCGCCTTGTCAACACTCACATGGAGCGCAACCACACCGGGACATCAATCAACAAGCACCCATGAAATGCTGACAGCTAAACATGCAGGCCCACGTACAGGCCAACTGCAACGACGATGCGGCATAGTTCAATAGTGTGTGATGGGATAAAAAGCATAACTACAAGACACACGGGACGGATATGCAAACGAAAACTAAAATCAAAATGTTCCAACGTGGAACGTGAAGTATCAGTGGTTAAATCATTGCAGTTTATCAAACTGTTGTGTAGCGTTTATCACTAAGATGAAAGTCTAATAGTATTTCGAATGTCGTCATGTCTGGTGTGTGAACCACATATCTTGGTAATACATTCCAGTGAGAACAGGTCCTGTGAGTAAAAATATTTTCCACAATTCAGACGGGAGTGTTGCGTCAATAGTTTCAGGCGGTTGCCTCGGCTTTGTTTGTAAGTGGCTAGAGTCAACAGTGATGTACATGGATGCTTGCTTTCAGTTACTATCCGGTATGTAAATGTAAGATCTCTACGAAGCTGCCGATATTCTGATGAGAACACACCGAGTACACGAAGACGCAGTTCGTAATTTAGACCGGATAGTCCATGCGTTACCTTTGTGGCGCTTCTTTTGGGTTTTTCCAATAGACGAATGTCTCGTTTTAACCATGGACACCAGACCTGAATTGCAATTTCAACGTGAGGGCGAATATAGGAGTTAATCAACTTTGGTACTAGCCGTCGCTCAAATGTGCAGAGAGCTCGCCTCAAAAGTCTCAAGTTCAAGTTCACCACACTTGCTGCTTTCGAACATTGGGGCGAATTGCCAAGACTCACTTTCACTGTCATACCTAAGTCGCGTTCACTAGTCATTTGTTGCAGGACGTGTTGCCCCAAAAGCTGTGTTGAAGAAGCCGTTGCGCACCGTCAGCAGGTGGCACTTTGCAGGTTACAGTGGGAGTTGGTTCTTTTCTGCCCATTCACTAATCCGAGTCAGATCTTAAACATTATTGAAATGAGTTAGTAAATTGAATGGAGATATTACCAAGCGCCGCACTGATGATTACTACAGATTTGCACACCCCTCTTCTCTTAGATGTTGGCACGAATTGGGGACGATGGAGGCTTACCATACTCGCTTGTCTGAGGCACTCACGATCACATGTGCTGCACTGCAATGCTCACGAATTCAATGGGCTATCCACCGTCGAAGCCCGACGCTTTCTTAACTAACGTTGCTTTTTCGCAAGCAGTGGTACTGCCTCATGCACCTCAGCAACCGCCCAATTTATATGCTCCCCCCATCAAGGCTGATAGGTTGCGATCGAATCCCAGAACCCGAAATCAAGATTTGTTCGCGATAAACTGACGACGCTCATGCCCTGATAACACAAATTCTGTTTTCCCATGTGCCACTCACTTACACGTAGTTTGCCATAAAAAGGCTGTCTCGGTAACCGACTCGAATCCATTCGGCGAATAAGTCCCAGCCACCTCAGGTGCCTCAGCAGAAGGATGCAGTCCACTGCATACATGCCACCGCGTCGGAGCACCTTCCTGTCTACAAGTCAGTCACTCCAGTCGATGCGCGTAACACGACGCAGACACTGTTGATGGAAGCGCTCCAGATGACGGACATCCTTACGATAAAGTGTTCAGGTTTTGCTGTCGTATAGAAGAACGGACAACACCATACAACTGGATATCATCAGCTTCGTCCTGACAGTGAGCAGGTGGTTGTTCCACACACGACATTCCAACATGCCAAATGCAGCACCCGTCTACGATACGCGACTGCGCAGATCGCTCGTCATCTGCAGTTCGGTTGTTATTATGCTCCCAAGGTACCACAATCTCGGAGTGGTTTCCAACAGTTCGTCGGCAACCAAGATTTGTGGCAGGTCTTCTGAATCCATTCCGGGTGAAGTCTGAAAACACAGTCTTCCCTGTGTTTATATTGAGCCAGAATTTGGCCGGTGTCAATGCGAGAGACGAAGTGGTGTTTTGCGACTCATTCTCGCTGTGTGCAAACAACGCACAGTCGTCAACGAACAGCAGCATACGGATAGTTGTATCACACATTTGGATTCTCGCCCCGAAACAATGGATATTCAACAACCCACCATCAATACGGTGCTCCACACGAACTCCTTAATCACAACTAGCATTAGTAGCAGAAGACTTCATTACACTTCGGTAAACTTTAAGCAAAACAAGAGTTAAGAGACAGCCTTGATTCGCACTATACACAACACCAGTCATTCGAGTTTTAACCACTCAGCTTTACCCCCACCCGCATACCAATGTACAGACATCCAACCAAACTTACAAACTTACTCAACACCAGCCACAATGTCTCGGGGTTCAGCGTGTCAAATGACTTGGTGAAGTCAAAAACAGCGAGTATAATGGCCGGTGTCGCTTTCTGCAATTCTCCTGTAGCTGACTAGCCGCGAACATCATAGCTATAATGTTGCGACCCGAACGGAATCCACATTGCTCTTCCGCCACTTCCGGTTCAACGACCTAAGTGACGAAGCGGTTGAGCAGTATTCGAGCGATCTCTCTCCCCACATAACTTAGCAAGTTGATGCCTTGATAGTTCATGCAGCATTATTTGCTCCAGTTACTCTTTTACGGTGAGCGTACAACAGCGTCCTTCAGGTCAGCTGGAAAT